CAACCTAAACTAAAGCAAACACAAGATGGAGTCTATTCTGTCACAGCCAACAAGCCAACCCTATAGCACAACATCATTTTCCCCCTGGCTTTCCCACACTTTTTGGCCATAGAGGCATCTGGGATTTGTAGGCCTACCCTGGAGTTTTGCCCTACTTCCCAGGGTGGGTGGCCATTTTAACTAAACTAAACAACCTAAACAAAAGCAAACACAAGATGGAGTATTCTGTCACATCCAACAAGCCAACCCTATAGCACAATATCATTTTCCAATCTAAACATTTTCAAAAGTTTATTAACTCCCAAAATTGCCAAAAGGATTCAAAATAATGTTCTCCACGACACATGCAATTAGGAGGCTTGAAAATGATGCAAAAACATAGGTTAATAATTAACTATAATTTCTCATCTAATAATTCCACCAGCAGCAAACACCCATCCAACAATCAATACTAGCCATTTAAAAGAGCCAACTGCCAAAAAAAGTTATATGAAATAAATATGTAAAACTTTGATTAGATTCTGCAATGGCTTTAGAACAATTAATCTACTATTAATGTATGAATCAGTATTGTTTGGATTTATTGGCATGACAATTGACACCATCAATATTTCTTTTCATATCCAAGAAGTTCTGAGAAAGGGGTTGCAAGTGCATGCTGCAGGCACCGATAGGGCTCTGTGAAGTGTGAAAGATACACTTCCCTGCCTGGGAGGGGTGAGGCCAGTGCCAGTCACATGTGCTTGCTCTGTTCAAGCCAAGGAGGAGGGATGGAATGGAAGGGACATGGGAGAGCTTGCTTGCCTGGTCTATCTGCCCCAGCCCCACTCGCACTCTCCCGCTGATTAAAGTGCAGCACGTACCACTACTGACCTGACCCTTGAGCTGGGGAAGGCTGTACAGCTGGTTGTTGACTCTGGGCTGCTGGCTCTGGAGTCCTGGAGTCTGTACTCTGAATAGTGGCACCAGGGACCTAGGAGGGCAGGGCTTGTGAGTCCAACCCTTTACAGTCTCATCAGGGCTGGCCTTAAGGCAATTGGAGCAATTTGGCCAAATTGGGCCCCACAGGCCGCTCCTAAGGGGGTCCCCGTGTAGGGCAATCTAGATGGATTTTATTTATATCTCTAATATTCTGCAGACTTCCGCTGTGAACTAGGGCCCCACAAAAAATTTTCCACTTGGGCCCCAGAGTTTAAAATTGGGCACCACTGGCTGGCCCTGAGTCTCGTAGTTGCTGGGCCCGAGTTGCTCTGGCCTCGCATGAAGTCTTGGGTTTGCAATTTTTGGGAGAGGGGAGACTGCTCGCTTGGGGGGGGGCAGGGCTGTGGAGGCCCCCTAGATTTAGAGGCCCTAGGCTTCAGCCTACTTAGCCTATATATAAATCCGGCATTGCTTCCCAGTATCAGATATCTATTCCTAATTATCCATAATTGCCTGAGCTATTGAAGTTTTCAGGGAATTGCCAGCAATGACTTATAGCTTCATTTCTGGAATGCTTTAGTACAGGGATCCGCAACCTTTTTTACCCTGTGGGTACCCTTAGAATTCTGACATGGGTAGTAGGTGCAACCACAAAATGGCTGCAAACCACAAAATGTCAGGGAGTGAGGTTATATATAATGTTGATAGTTCTTCAACATTTCAGGCAGAAACTCCGTTTAAGTTTAACATGTTGTTTTATTTATTTACTAGGAAAAAGGCCCGTTGTGGAAGTCAATACAACGGCCTCTAGAAAGAGGCTCTGGGCGGGTGCCCCGACCTTGAACACTCAGTGTCAATTTGCTGTGGCGACCTCAGCAGGGTATAATGACACTGAGTCCACCATTTTCTCCAGAGGAACTGATCTCTGCTACCTAAAGAACCGTTGTAATTTTGAGTGATCTTCAGCCCTCACCTGGAGATTGGCAACGATGGTTCCCCAGAGGGAATAGTTGATTTGGAGCGTGAAGTCTATGGCTTTGTACCTGTCCAAGGTCCCACGCCTCCTGAAACCTCACCCACTCCAGGCTCCATCCCTCACATCTTCAGGAATTTCCCACCTGGAGTTGGCAACCCTATCTCCTTCCCAGCCAATCATCAACCTACCTTTATTTCCTCCTCACTCTTCAGCTTTCCACCCCCCACACACCTGCAGCCTCTCCCGTGCTCTGAAGCCCTGACTGCTATGTCACATTGGCTGTCATACAGGGACCACCTCAGCAGCATATAAGGATACAGAGCCCACCATTTTCTCCAGGGGAACTCATCTCTGCCATCTGGAAAGCAGTTCTAATTCTGAGTGATCTCCAGCCCTCACCTGGAGATTGGACACATTTTACCTCAGAATAGCAAACTGTTTAGAATGTTAGAGGCAAAAGCCAATCAAGTCGCATATGCAAACGACCTCTGTGTTCCGAGGCAAAGGCCAATGAGGCTGCATATGCAAATAACCTCTGTGTTCTGACTGGCTATGGGGGGGGGAGAAGAACAGCAAACTGTTTAGAATGTTGGAGGCAGGACTCAGGCAAAGCAGCCAGTGGATAGGGAGACCCTCTGAATGACAGATCAGAGAGCGAACTGATTTTGGAGCGTGTGAAATGTTCTAGAGAAGTGCCACCACCATTCGGCTTTTATTTATAAGGGAGATTTACAACATTTATATCTCACCTTTCTGTCCTCACAAGGACCACCAAGATCACCAACAATTTAAAACATACATGATAAAATCATATTATAAAACAATTAAAATCAACCTCCCGCATCATTAAAACATTAAAAAATTACCATCATTAAAAAATTAAAAACAGAGTTAAAATAACATGCAATGATATAAAAACAGACATTGGGCAGGAAGGAGGGATCACTGAAGGAATTCCCAATGAAACAAAAAAGTCTGCATCCACTGGCGGAAGATGGCAACAGAAGGGAACAGACAAATCTCCCTAGGAAGAGAGTTCTAGACTGGTGCCATAACCAAGAAGGCCCTCTCCCAGGTTGCCACCCGCCTAATCTCAGGAGGTAGGGGCACCCAAAGCACGGCCTCCGCATTTGATCATAGTGATCTGGCAGGTTCATAACGGAGTAGGCAGTCCTTCATGTATGTTTGTCCCAGGCTGGACAGGTTTTTAAAGGTCAAGACCAGCACCTTGAATTTTGCCCAGAAACAAACTGGGAGTCAGTGTAGATGGGCCAAGACTGGAGTGATATGGTCTGTATGACCTACTCCAGTCAACATTTTGGCTGTATCACTCTGTACCAATTGAGGCTTCTGAACACTTCTCAAAGGCAGCCCCACACAGAGCACAATGCAGTAATCAAATCTAGATGACATTGGGTAAGCACAGCGTCCAGATCTTTTCTGCCCAGGAAAGCCCACAGCTGGCTAACCAGTCAAAGCTGGTAAAAGGCACTTGTGGCCACAGCTGCCACCTGCTTATCCAGCAGGAGGCCTGTGTCCAAGAGCAGCCCCAGACTACAGACCTATTTCTTCAAGGGGAGTGTTTAAAAATTTGTTTGCATACACATGAAAGAAGCATACATATTGAGCGATTTCAGAAACCCTCATCTGGCAGTAGCTGCTATCGTTTTGCAGGAATTTCATGCACTTGTACAGAAGGGATAAAATGCTTCTTCTCCTGGTTTTCCCTGTACCTGAGCCCTCCTTTCAGGAGCCCAGGAATTTTTAACCAGCACTATCACTTGTAGCAATGACAATTGGTGCTTGAGAACTGATGAGTGCTCCTTGCACATATGTACAATAAGAGAGATTCTGGCTGGATTATAACAGGAACATAAAATGATTTTTAAAAACTGGACAAAACTTGATGTAGTGATGTTATTAGCAACTTCTGCCTGAATTATAAAAAATACTGGGAAGGTCTTATGACTTCAGTAAAAGGTCCAGTAAGTGTATTAAGCAGTTTAGCCCAGCAGCTCAAGCATCTGTAGTCAGAAACCAGTCCAACTGTGTTTTTAGAACATCACTCCTCTTTCTGTCCAAGTGAAGGACTTTACATGAAGCTACTGTCGGTATTATGCCGTAAACATTAAAAACTCAAAAAGCCCCACCTGACCATGCCCACGGTCTAAAAACCCTTTGCAGGCCCCAGGAAATGTGCTGGTGGGTGCTGTGGTGGCCAAACCCATTTTGCACTGTTGAATCATCCCCACTCCTTGTCCGCCATTGTTTTGTACAATGGATTTCATTTTCAATGATCGATCACTATAAAAAATATTCAACTATCCAGAGATTTCAAAGATTAAGAAATACTACATTTTTGGAAGGGGCTTAAACTGTCCTCTATGCGCCTGTCTTATTTACAAGCTCGGGCTCCTGGGTTTGTGCCACTGGAAACAGCAGAGTCTGCTCTCGGTTGCTGCCTCCGCCTCTCATCTAGGGGACGGATGGAAACTTTTCCTCTCCTTGGGGAATTTGGATGCTCATGAAAACAGCAACTTTTTTGGTCACGTTTGGGGAGGTTTGCTGGATCGTGTGTGGGAAAAAGCAAGACGGCCTGGTGGCTCGAGTGAGTAAGCAAGCCAACCCGTCCCGCGATTTCCCTGGCCTAGGCTATTTTTTTTTCCACTCCCACCGTTGTACTCCCAGGCCCTTTCTTCCCCCCTTTTCGAAATCCTTTAAAAAAAAACAAAAAAAAACCGCCCACCCAAAAACTCCTTGGTGGGCCCCAAAAGAATCAACGCTCCACATCAGCCCCAATCGCAAAAATTCAAGACACCACGACCAAGCTAGCTCACAAACGGGATTCGTGTGTGCTGTATGCAAAGGGAGGGGATCAGTTTCTGGGGACTTTCTGTCCCCCCTCGAAATGCCCCGATGGGAGGGGAAGCCTGCGGAATTCGGCAACGCGCCACTGTTCGCGCGGCACTCCGCTCTCTCACTTTCCACACTCCTCCCGCGGCCCGTCTTTCCGCGGGCGGTAGGGGGTGCGGACCCCGCCCCCGGGCAGCAGGGGCCCCCCGCCCCGCTCTCACTCCGAGAAGTTTCCCAGGGTCCGGGAGCGAGGAGCAGGCGCCGCCGCGCTTTCGGGTGTCTGGCTGGAGCTCGAGCTCGGCCCCTTCCATGGATCTATAGGGTGGCAGCAGGACTGGGGGGCATGGGCTTGGCGTCCCGGCTTGGGGGCCCGTGGCGGGCACGGCTGGGCTGCAGCATTCTGGGCATGGCGCTGCTGGCGCGGCTGGCACTCGGAGCAGGTAGGGCGCTTGTGTTGGACCGGGGTGGGGTGGGACCCCAAGATCTGGGAGGGTTTGGGGGGCTCCCGGTTAGTGTCCTACCCGCCCCGGGCGGCACTGGGACGGTCTGTGGCCTCTTCATTTCCTCCTTACAAACTTCTGAAAACTTCGCAGGGACTTTGCGGAGGCTTTCCTCCCCCGGTTCGGGGCTCTCGGCGCTGCTTTGAGCACCCGATTCAGGCACTGGCGACTCTGAAAGTTATTTTCCTTGTTTCATGTCGGCTTATTCCTTGCACTTTCTCGCTCCCCTCCCCCCACCCTTGAGAAGGAGGGGAGGGAAATGGCTTGCTAAACCGGAGTCCGACCACAAAGAAAATAAATGATCATTGTTTAATTCCAGATTGGGGGAAGGGGGAGAGGAGGCAGCGATTGGGCTGTGGCGGCGGGGGTGGGGGATAGTAAATCACCGGCACTGATTTGAGCTAAGAGAAACAATCTTAACACTTTTTATTTACTTGAAGCAAACTTTCTTCCAGCTTCCCAGCCCGACGCAGTTGGAAAACACGGAGAGTGGATTTCAGAAGGATCTGGCTTCGCTTTAGCCTTTTTCCCCTCTGTGTTTGCTCCTTGAAAGCTAAATGAAATCTTTTTACTCGGTCTCGCTGGGGGACAGAAAAATGTACACCTATCTATAAGATATTGTTGTCGTTTGCGTGGTTGTGCTGTAGTATGGTGTGTGTACATGCTTGTGTAGCAGAGAGGACAAGGGAAAAAGTTGGGATGTGTGCCAGTTGTGCTGATATTAAGCATTTGGCATGTTTAAAATGTGTTGGATTGTGCACACTATACATGATGTGTGTGTTGCACAGGCCAGGCACTTCTGAAATGTGTAAATATGTAATGCATGCTGCTCTCTTTCTGTGTGAGAGATAGCACGTAGTGGTTTAGGTACTGAATGCTTATAATACGGACTTGTGTCTGAATACTTAACAAGACGTATATATAGATGGGAACAGTCGTGGGTAGGGGCTGATGAATTTGTGCTTCATGCCTCAGGTTTTCCTCTGAGATTGCTATGGAATGCCTTCCCTGGCAGGCTAACATTTGCATTGACATTGAATTTGGTGGTGCTTTTGTTGTGCATTCTGTGAACAGGGTAGTGAGGGAAGGGTGTTGATGATCTGGACAGATGTAGCAGCAGCTGTTGGCCCTCTCCCCCCCTTCACATTCTGCTAGATGTAGAAACTTTTATTGTTACCAAAAGTGACTCCCATGAAGCTGTCCAAGTGCCTTTCAAGACTAGGCTTTAGCGCCGTGTCTTATAAACCAGGCATGGCCAATCCAGATGCAAAAGCACTGGCTTACCTCGAAGTTGTCGATCCTTGCCTGTGGAACAAGAAATGCCTCTTGAAGCTCTGCTAAGGGAGTGCACAGCTCAGCAACTGGGCCAGCCGGTTCCCAGGCTCAGGAGAGTCAGAATGGATGGCTCAGTCTACTATGAAACATGCTTCCCCCACACAGCTGGCTTTTCCCACTTGTGTGCTGGGAATAAAGGTAGATGCAAGCAGGAGATAAGATGATTTAATTGGGTGTCATGCAGTGACTTGTTTTGCCCAATAAAACGTGCAGCAGTATGCCAGGGATGAGATAATTGCTGCAAAAGGTAAATAGAACGTAGAGCTATTATTCAGCATGGGTTTCACTCTCCCATGAAGCCACCTGACTGGTTTAGTGAAGCTGGCCTTGCTTCTTATGCCATTCCCAGCCAGTTGGTTCAGCAGGACGTGGGAATCTGAAGCCAGTCCCCATGCATGAGGCTGGGATGCTGTGAATCGTGGATTCCCTGGGAATATAAATCCCCTCCTCCTCACCAGCTTGCTGCTTGGCTGGACATAGACAGGGCATTGTTCTTGGTTGAGCAATTCCACCACACTCCTGCTAGCCTTGGCGGTCTTGCGCCAGACAGGCTCGGAGCTGTTGCATTTAGCCACACGGTCACTTTGAATGCGGCCAGAGTATTCGGAAATAGTGCTAAGTGATTGGCGACAGGTTCCTTAAACCTTCCAGAACAGCAGCTTAGAGGGCCCTGAAGATTTAGGGAGTGGAGGAGCTTGAGATGGCAGGATGAAGTTCTGGTTGGCGTGGGCTGTGCCAGGGGAGGGTCGCATAAGGGTTGGAAGTCTCTTTAGTAGGAAGGGAAATATTCCTTGTTCTGCTTGGGAGGGAAATATTCCTGGCTCTGTTGGGCATGAAGCTTTGGGCCAGACACTGAATTCTTATCCAGATTAATGTCTGCAGATCAGATATTTTGTCTCTTCCAGGGCCATTCATTCTTTTCTGCCTGGCTGCACTGATAACTATGTGATGACCTGGAGTAAAGTGCCTGGCTTGATGAAGCCCTCCCTCTGAGGGCTGGTTTACATGATCAGACATACAGGAGTCCCCCCCCCCCAGCCCTTTGTTGGAGTTGGCCTTGGCTTTCCAGCAATGTGCATCACATGGTTATGCCATGAAAAATCTGCATGCTCAATCAGGATATGCATGTTTGATGTGAATTCCTGTGCATAAATGTGTAGGAATGTTATACCATGCAAAACATCCTCAACTATGCCATCATCTTTCCCCTCCAAAACAGGTGCAGTCTTTTCATAAAGAGCATAAATCCAGTTCTTAAAAACAATCAGTCAGTATTCTGTTGTTTGTTTGGAAGGAGCAGAAACTCTAATTTTAGCATTTTTAAAAATGTGTAGCTTTGATTCAAAAAATTCCTCAGCTATGCAGTTAATTAATTGAGTTACAGTAACACACTGAATGTGGAGATGCATTGGTGAAACTGATTCTTTGAATTTAGTTTGCTCATTGAGATAATCCAGATCCATCTTGGCTTATTTCAAATCTGGGTTTGGGAAGGGAATAATCTCCTATAGGTTCCCAAACTTATTTGTCCTACCGCCAAAAGGTTGCTTTAGATAGGTTCTGGACTCTTCTTTCTTTATGCTTCCACTGCCCCCTTATTTGTATTCAACACCCCCCAGTTGCACCCAAGGCTCCGACTGCCCACCTGGATCATTTCAGCACCCTCAGGGGGTGGTATTTCCCACTTTGGGAACCAGACCTTCCATGACCTCCAGTTCTGTGAAGCAATATAGTTTTGCTATTACAGGCACCCCATGTGTAGATATGAAATTCTCCTCTTGTTTCCTCAGCTCTTGGGATGGCACCATCTGAACATTTCTTCCCTTCTGGAACCAGTAAAATGTCAACCTGACTCATAGTGCTCAGGCTTGGTGCTAGTTTTGGAGGTTTTACTTGTTCCTTTCAGTCTTGTGAAGGGGGAGTTGTGATTCTTTAGAGATGCTGAGCTGGTGTCTGACCAAGCAGCAGTGGAATGAGCCTAATCCTACTAGAAGAAGAAGAATTTGAATTTATATCCTGTCCTTCACTCAGAATCTCAGAGCGGCTTACAGACTCCTTTCCTTTCCCCTCCCCTCAACAGGCACCCTGTGAGGTAGGTGGGTCTGAGAGAGCTCTGAGAGAACTGCTCTTTCAAGAACAGCTCTGACAGAACTATGGCTTGCCCAAGGTCATCCAGCAGGTGCAAGTGGAGGAGTGGGGAATCAAACCCGGTTCTCCCAGATTAGAGTCCGTTCACTTAACCACCACACCAGAATGGCTCTCTACTAGTCTCCTTGGTGCTTTCTCCTGGACATAGTGAAGATTCCCCCCCCCTTACAGATTCTGTTAGCTGCCGCAATCTGTGCTCAGAGCTCAGAGTTGTTGAGATACAGCAGCTGCCTCCCTGCTTGCAACTCCTCTAGATGCAATAGTGGGCCAGCCGGCTGGCCATTCAGTTCTCTACCCCTTTATTCGGCCCGCATTGCCTAACCAGTTAACAAAGGCATTGCAAAGGCAGCTGGAGAGAGCTCAGAGCCTCTTCACGGTCTTATTGCAAGCAGCAACTTTGAGAGCCTATTCTCTCTCCCCCCCCCCCCAATATATATTCATATTTTTTTGTGACAAAAGCAGGCTGGTGGTCTCATTAAAGATCCCTACATGCAAATGCAAACCATATTTTGAAAGCATGAGCAATAGGTGTGATGAAACCAGGACTGGTGCATGCTATGAAGCTTCCACTTGCGTGTTCAGACATGGTAATAAAGTCAGAGTGGACTCAAAAATAAGTTCAAAATTGGCCATGGGACTTGGGCCTCAAGCTGGGAGAAGCCCTCATCCTTGCATTGGCCTGAAAGATGACAGATGTCTTTAGGAATGTGCATGGAGCTGCTGAGAAGGGTGTCCTCCTGTCCTCAATGTGCATGGAGCTGCTGAGAAGGGTGTCCTCCTGTCCTCAACACATGGGCAATCACCCTTGAGACTTGTACCCCTTCCTAGCCTGAATTGTACTTGCACTGTATACAGGTAACTCCTTGCTGAGGGTTGGCACTGCAGTCCCCTTCAGTGTTTTCTGATCAGACTCTGAATGCACGGTGTGAGTGTGTGATGGTGGAAAGTGCCAGCAAGTCATGGGTGACTTATGGTGACCCTGTAGGGTTTTCAAGGCAAGGGAGGTTCAGAGGTGGTTTGCCATTGTCTGCCTCTGCATCATGACCCTGGGTTTCCTTAGTGGTCTCCCATCCAAATACTAGCCAGGGTCGGCTCTGCTTAGCTTCCGAGATCTGATGATACCGGGCTAGCCTGGGCCATCCAGGTCAGGGTGTGTGTGCATATATTTGCTGTCAAGTCACAGCTGACTTAGAACCATAGAGTTGGAAGGGGCCATACAGACCACCTAGTCCAACCCCCTGGCCAATGTAGGACCAGCCTAAAGCATCTCTGACAAATGTTCATCCACCCTCTTCTTGAAAGCTGCCAGCGAAGGGGAGCTAACCACCTCTCAAGGCAGCTGATTCCACCTTTGAACCACTCTGACCGTGAAAAAGTTCTTCCTAATATCCAGCCGATACATTTCTGCATGTAATTTAAACCTGTTGCTTCGGGTCCTATCCTCTGCTGCCAACTGG